AAGTACTATTCTAATAGTTTCTTTTTTATCTTTAATTATTTCTATTTCATTTTAATAATAATTTCTAATATTTAATTATCTATTATAATTCATCTTTAGCAGATTTTATATACCATTAGAATGCCTTCTTTTATCTTCAGAAATGCCTATACCATTTTGGTAACAACTTCTAAGTTTGTATCATTTATTATTATTCATTAAATTTGAACAATATTTTCATTTTTTATTAGGTTCAGGTACTTATCAAACATTATCAGATCAATATAATGCTTACGGCACAGTTGGTAATATAAGCCAAGTTCTATCTTTTAAATTTGTAGAACTGGACTTTGCAAAGCTATATGTAAAAGTTCTGGAGTTAATCTATAAAATTTTTCTTTGGAGTCATTCTTGCCACATACTACATATATCGTATTTTTGCACAGTCTACATTGCTGCATTTCGTTAGTAGGAGTTTGGGATTGTGAATCGAAATTTTAGGATGTCGGCAACTTAAATGCGCACACAAAATTTCGAATTACAATGTTTTTGGAAAAAACTTTGTAGAAGCTTTGTAAAACTGATAACGACTTTAAGTAAAATGTAATAAATCAATCAATCATCGCTAAATTTTGCTAATTAGTTATTTAATCATGTATAAATAACATTTCAAAACAATTGACCAACCAATGGATTTTTAAGCATGCTATAATGATAATGTTTTCAAACTATTCTTAAATTGGTTATTTCATACAATTTGCAGATCTAAATTCATGCATTCACATCCTCTCGTGGAAATATGTACGTATAATCCAATCACATGAAGATTTTGCCATACACTTTGTAAAATTTTTAATATCACTCCTGTTCCTGATATTATCAGACCGGCAAAAAATATAAACTTAGAATGGAGTACATAAAAAAATATAAAAAGATGTCTTAACATCGAAATTATAGCAATGAATTTTATTGCACCAGTATTTGAATCGTATCTAAATTGTATCATTCCTAGATTCGAATCTAAGTATCTATAACGAATGAATGAAAATTTATATTATGGAAATTACGAGGAAACTTTGGTCGTCGATCATACGCACAAAACTGATAAAAACAATAAAAAATTTAACACATTGCATAAAACGCAAAAGGTAAAATGATGAATATATTCTCTAAAAAAAGTAATAATCTTACAAAAAAAAATGTACACCCCAAACAAATAAGGAAAAATGTTTCAATAAAAGAATATATCTCTAAACTAAAATGATTACATCGCATAAAAGAAAAAAGTACACCTCCAAGCAAATAAGGAAAAATGATTCGACAAAAGAATATATCTCTAATAACGATATTCACGTTGTATAAAAGAATTGTGCGTACAAACAATTTTTAAAATAATTAAATCATATAGACAAAGATTTTTTGAAAACTTCATCTAGCATTTATTGAATATTTTAGTATCTAGATTCAAAACTTTAGAACAGAATATGACCTCAAATTTTGATCGATATGCTTTTATAGGATTAGGCGGCATGGTGTTAGTATTCGAAATTGTCTTATGATGCAAGTTATTGATATTTAATCCTCTTACTGTCAAATTTTTTTAAAAATAGACTCCCAATGGCAATAAACCTTCAAAAGTATCTTTCAACAAACTCTTTTGCCCCATTGACCGTACATTTTTCAAAACACAAGCAGTAAAAGAAGCCATTGAATATGCCAATATAATTTTTACTTTACTCGCTAACGATAATGCTGTTAATCAAACTTTTAATGAATTATTGAGTGAATCGGATCTTATTGATAACAGTAAGAAAAAAAAGTTATATTTGTTGAAACAAGCACGATTGAACCAACCACAGTTGGCACTAAGAGAAAAGGTTGAGAATGCAACAAATAAAATTTTATTATATTGTCCTGTTTTGGGTCTTCCTGAAGCTGCAAAGGTAGATAAAATATAAAAATAAATGTTATTTTGGAATTGTCTATATCTAAATTATTTATATATTTAAAATCTTCCTAGAATTCACAGCTATCAATTATCCCTTCTGGCAACCAAGACACAATTAATTACATGCTACTATTATTAACAACTGTGTTAGGAAAGAAGGTTTTACCTGCGGGTTAGAAATCCAATATATACTTTACCATTAAAGATGATTTCTGATTTTCATTCAATATAACATGTTAAATATTTTACTGATGATTTAAAGAATACAGCTAAATTTAAGCTAATTTGAAACTTATTCGTTTTTGATGCTGGTGAATTATTATCTGAAGGAATTACTTTAGCAGAAAAATCTGGTGTTGACAAAGAAATGTTATTAAATTCTATTTCCTCCCCTGAGTTTATAGCGAATGGGTTATAGGTGCTATAGTAATTAAAAAAAAAAATTACTAAATACCTCAAAATTTAAAAATGAATTTTACTAACCTACTTTTTGATATTCATAGGAACAAAAATGATAAAAGAAAATTTTGATACAGACGTCGTTTTTACTGTTACTAACGTTTTAAAAGATATAGGGTAATACTACATCCTTATTAAATTTATAATTTATTTTTTATCTTTTTATCTAAAAAGATTTGATTCATATATTAACTTACGGTCAATCTTATCTTTTTACGAATCATGTCAGACATATTCAGCGATTAGCAAAAGACTCGGGTACATATTTACCACTAGCAGATTTAGTGTATAAAAATTTGAACAATGCAAAAAAAAAAGAATCAGGTGGAGATAATTATAATTAGAGTTCTATGATTAGTCTTTGAGAGTTGGTAGATATTTTATTTATCGTTATTCGATAATATTTCGTATTATATCAATTTTTAAATATTGATTTATATTTCTGAATTAAAAAGCATCTGGATTGTCTTTATGAATAAAAACGTAAAGCATGAATAATGAACGGAATAAAAGAATCGAGATCTAAAAAAATTTGATGCATTATTAATTTTGTCAAACGGGATCATTAGCACTAGCATTTATGCTAAGGTTATTATCGCGATAATAATCCATGTAACTAACCAGGTTTATGTACTTAATGGTTAGTTGGCGTAAGATAATCTTTAGTGTTTCTTTCTTTTGCTGCCTTTTGGAATATAATTTAAATTTAATTTTTTTTAAGTAAATTATTATCGTTGACAAATAATTCATAATTTAATGCTGCGGCAGTGGCATTGATTATAAATCAGAACATTGGGTTCTTCATTCGAATATTAGTTCTTCTTCTTGCATAAATTGAGTATTTCTTTCAAACAAGTTTTTTTCTAATACGAATTTAAAGTTTCAAATTAAATTTATCAAAATAAATTAACTTCTATCAAACCAGCAATCCTAGTATTGCCCACTGATGGCATAGATGTCTTAATATATCTTTCATATATTACACTAAAAAAAATACGGATATTATATAAACAGCACATCACTAATTACTCGAGATAAATAAACAGTACATATTGTACATCGCAGCCGTAATATTATATAAAAAGGAGCCATATATCTGAACCAATCTATTCATTTATTTTGATTTTTAATTTGATCTTATTTTCTAATTTATTTATAAAAGACTTAAATTATATTATTTCGAAAATCACAATCTCCTAAAATAGTTAATATACAGCCCCCGTATCTTATCGTATCAGCATGTAAAAGACGCGTGTACATTCATGCATCAATTCTGAAAGTAGTGTAACGTGTAATATGTAGAAAACTATTTATAGGCAATACGCAGTGTGATTTATGCAATCGCGCGGCTTATATTGTAAATCCCGCGCGGTTTAAATAATAAATCCCTCAGGGAATTCATATTCTCAAAAAAATGCACAGATGTGCGGGTTTTACAGTACTTAGTCCATGGTGTCTTTTATCGTCATATTATTTATTAATTTGAAGTACAGTAATTTAACAGATAAAAAGCGAATTTCGTATAGAATAAATTTTAGATTTAATAGTGTATAAACAATTTCATGTTTAAATAATAAAATAAATAAATTTGAAAAAAAATGTAAAAAAAGAAAGAAAAAACTAAAGTATGATATCAAATTACAACAAAGAATGTTATAAAAATAAAAAAGCTTATTTTACTTATTTTTGTTTAACTAGCATAATAATTAATTTCGACAAATTCTTTAAACAAAACCATCAATACATATTTGTAATAAATGAAAAAAAAAACAACGGAAATGATAAATTATGGTTACTAATACGAGTCACAAAGACATCCATTAGGAAATACGAGTGATGAAAAATATAAAAAAGACGAATTAACGTGAAGTAAACAGATAGATTAAAGAAATAACGAAGATATGTATAAAAAAAAAAAAAAATATGCGAGCGTTATTAATAATAAAGCAGGTGCGAAAGAAAAATTGGTAAAATGATAATAATTTAGATAATATTTGTCATGCAATATTTTGCCATATTAAGGACGCACAAGGAGTTAAAAAAAATTTCTGAGAGAAGAAAAAAAAATCGACACGAAACTGACTAAGCAGTTCTTAAATGTATTTATTTGATTCTACTTAAAATGTAAGTAGGTGATGGACGAGTGGAGACGATATTTTAATTTGTGAACGAAAAACCTGAAAATAAATCAACAGAAAATTGTGATGGTTGGGATATTTCTAAATTTTGATCCCTACCGAAAAGGTCAAGAACACCCTTAATTATTATTTCAATTAGTTCAGTACGTC